TGCTCCAGAGTCTATCAGAGTGCTCTTGCTCGGTCGAGAATTTATTGTCGCATCCACGAACATGAGCCCTTTCTCTATTATCTCCTTCGGTTCGACTTTCCGTTGGAGGGCTGACAAGAATTTGAGCGCGCCCATTCGGGGGTTATCGTGATCTTCCTTCTTGTCTAGCATAGTCTCGACCCTTGCCTCATTGCACTCTTGAACGAACACTTGGAGCGTAGTGAGAGAGGCCCGATGAGGACAGTAGGATACTTTGTGGGGACTTTTACACAACATGCATTGTAAAGGCGTCGTCGGGTGGTTCTTTTGATGGTAAGGTCCTCGAGATGTCCCCGCTTGATTATTCTGGGGAGGTCTATCTGTTCATCCGCTCGGTCTGTTGGGGCTTCCATTTCGATGTGGTGGCTTGTATGTTTTGCCCCCAGTGTTTGGGGCCGGCGTCGATCTTCTTTGGGATCCTGCTTCGTTCCCACAGTCTACGAGTCTCTCGATGCAGGCCATTGCGGTAGCTAGGGTTTGGACCTTGTTCTCATGTATCTTTGTTTTGGCCCACGACTGTAACCCATTTATAAAGAAGAACACCTTGTCCTTCTCTACTGTGCCCTTGATATCTAGCATCAGGGTTGAGAACTGTCTGACATAGTCACGTATGCTTCCAGTATGTTTCAGGGCTACTATTTTCTCCATTGCTACATGTCCTGCGTTTTCGGGGAGGAATTGTTCCCTCAACTCTCTCTTGAGGTCCTCCCATGAGTCGATGGTGCACAATCCGTCCTCGATATCTTGCACCTTCGTACGCCACCATAGTTTGGCGTCGTCTATGAGATACATCGAGGCTACAGTCACCTTCTTGTCGTCAGTACAAGCCGTTGTGGCTTTGAAGTACTGCTAGACATCAAAGATGAAGTTTTCCAACTCCTTGGCGTCCTGATTCCCTTTGAAGGCTATAGGGTCTGGGAACCTTAGTTTGTTGGATCCTGTATTATTTTGCCCAGCCGTGACGCCTTCCACGGCTTTCATGGTCACTTCAATTCGAGTGCTCATGGAGGCCATTCTTTCTTGGATGTCGTCGATGGTTGTTCTGAATTCATCAGCTAATCCATTGAACAAACTCATCATTGTATTTTGTAGCACGTCGAACTCTTCCCCACGTCCCTCTTTGTGCGCGACAGAGCTATCCGGACTACCAGACGGTTTTGGGCTGCTCGTAGGAGCAACTCTTTCTTCGAGCGAGGTCACTCGAAACATCAGTTCTGCGATTGGCAACCCATCCAGGCGGTTGCCCATTGCGTCGACTTCTACGACTTTCTCACTCAATTCGGTCACCCGTTTTTCCAGGAAACGGAGGGTGTCAGGGACTTCTTTGAGGAACAACATTTCCTCCTCTATTAGCGTAAGCCGGTCGGCTTGTGCTTTGGGTGTCGACTTTGTCGTCGACATGATCTCGATCTTTATGATGTTACGGAGCTAACAAAGCTCTGATACCACTTGACACAATCGCACTTTCGAAGGCAGCGGACTAGCGATTGTGCGGCACTCACTTTCCAGCGACAAGTGAGCTAAGCCAATTTGTTCGTGCTTCGCCTACGGCCAAGCGACGTACGATCGAGCCTCTAGCCTCGGTTTTAAAAGAAGGTTTTAGAAAACGAGGAGAGAGAGAGATTTTAGAAAGAGAGATTTTGGAAAGAGACGTTATATAAGCAAGCAAGAGAAAGATAACAACGGCTTAGCATATATAACCTTGGGTAGGGAGAAGTTGACAACTAGTCATATCCCCCTATAGTACATTCTGAGCCATTTTATGTCTGGTAGGCCTAGACATGATATTTTTGAGGCGTCATACGCCCTAGAATTACAAAAGGAAAAACACTAGAATGAAAGGACATGACAAGGTTTGGCTTGTCATGGGCATGTGGCCATGGGCAACACGCCCTGGACGAGCATGACCGTGACACATGTCACACACACTACAAGGAAGGACATTTGTTGGTTGGCAAACGGATCAGGTCGATTCAAGTTGATGTGAGTTGCGGTTCTCGGGTCAATTCTTCATCTCCCTCTGATGGTGTGATATGTGGCTTGTCTGCACGCTTGACGCATGTCTTACTCGATGGCTGACGCGTGCCACCCTCTAATACTTTTTGCATTCCTTCACCCTTTGCCTAACACGTATCAGTCTGCGTATCGTCTTCCTTCAATAGTTTCCAAAGTTGATATGAGATGATTGTGATTTCATAGTTTTTTCCTAATTTTTTTTAATGTTTTTCTACATAACTATATTTAATTTTGTTTCTTCATCAAAATTGATGAGTTTACTACCCTGTTTAGTAACTAAATTATTTTCATTTCAGTTTCGTTAATTATAAGAGACATAAATGTATTTAAAGTCGGCCAAAAACTAAAAAACTCACGGTTCTTAAAGTTCATCAATACTCCACTTTTCAGTCTCATTCGACTCTTGATTCCTTCGTAAAAGTTGTGTAAAATCTATTTCTAAAACATTACTAGCTAATGCATCAAGGATCTAGTGGATTTTAAAATTCAATACCCTTACCTCACGATCCTCCTCGTTTCTTCACAAATCTAGATGAATCAAGTATTCGGAATATCCTCACCCTTTTGAACTTATGAAGGGACTATTGTTGGAAAATGACTCTAGGTGGCCGCCGATCAAGAAGTCCCCAATGGTTATTTTCTCTCCCTCTCAGAACATTCTTTTCTCTCTCTCTTATCCTTTTCTCCCTAATTAACTCACCTTTTAAGTTAATTACATGTTCCACTCCATGCGTTGACTTTAACAAAATTTTCCTATTTTTACTGTTTTATTTTATATTTTTCTTAAATTTTTAAAAATTTTCAAGCTTTTTTTCTCGTATCTTGAAATTCCGTCTTTTAAGACTCAATAAAATCTTAGAAGTAATAATTTTAAAAGGAAAATTGGATATTTAATTATGGAAATGGAGTTAAAAGAAAATTTTAAGGGTATTCATGAATCTTTTACACGTTCAAAATCTAAGGATACTAATTTTTTTAACCTAAATTAGTGGCGTCACCCACGCATGCTTTAAACACATATGCGGAAATTCATAATAAATACTTTTAAAATAAGGCCATGACTTAGATATTCAATTCAAAATAAAGATAACATAGCCTTTGAATCTAAAATAAATTGCTTTAAAACACCTATCAACTACTCCTGAAATTCAATGCGTACTACTGCCCTATCATGACCTATCTTGACTTCTATGTCCTTTACCATTATTCACTGTCATCTGTGTATGAGAGCTTTTTCTTTACCTGAAAATATAAGGGTAGAACATGCCTTACATATTTTAAAATATACTTAGTAAGTCACCCCACTGTTGGGATTAGTAACGCAATCACACACATAATATGTTAGGGACCTATTCTTTAAAACTGCAACATGAAAGTAGGCTCTTTCCAGTTTCAGACAGGGTTAGATGTGTAGTACTTCTCCACACATGGCTCACGTATGTGCACATGAGCCCACCAGGTGGGCTCGTATACGTACCTTCTGGGCTTGACTTGGTCGGGCACAACGCATTACACGTCATCAAACACCTCAGAAAAGGAAAGGTCTGCAAGATATCATGGCAAACATTAATATTAAAGGTACGTGTCCATACTAGCATAACATAACAGGGAAGTACCCCGATGCACATGACATACATACATGCTTGAGGTCCCATTATTTTCATTCATAACATAACATTAATCTCATTAGGAAAGTACCCCGATGCACATGACATACATACATGCTTGAGGTCCCATTATTTTCATTCATAACATCACATTAATCTCATTTCCTTTCTCTTTTCATTCGTAACATGTTTCATATATGCATCGTGTATACATGACAATCATCACATATCACATAACTTTACATAATCAAATTTAACATGACATACATGATATTTCATTTCATTCCTAACATAGCTTAATGGATATCACATGCATACATCGCATACATCACATGTCAATACAAAATGCATATAAGCATCGCTTAAATAATATAGTACATTCAGTAGCCATAGGGCATGCACCATCATACATTAGTCAATCATCTAACTTCAACAATAAGGTCACTTGATTGGCCTTGGCCGAAATTACTGATTACTCTGTAGCTGCTTTGAACACTATACTTTGGCATTGCATCTCACCTATGACATCCATATCACATACTCAGGACATATCGACATCTTAATCAAGCTAAACATGATAATTATTTCCAATAAAAGTCCTAAACTACCGAAAATTGGATAACTAGGAGTCTTAATGACCTCAAATGCCTTGAATAAGGTAAAAATGACATTAGGATGGTCAGAAACCTGGAAAACGATATAAAATTTTTATACCGAGCCGCCTAAGTCGAGAAGTCGAGTCGTCAAGCCGTCAAGCCTAGTCGAGAGGAACCTCGCTAGAAGCGCAAGTGCCAGCCACGTGAGAGTCAAGGGGCACGGTTCACCGGGTCGAGGTGTGGGTCAACGGATGAGGAGTGGGTCACCGGTTTGACACGTGGGCTGGACTTTGCACATTCTGTCTAGGCAATGAAAGGTATGGGTCGTGGGGCGGTGGGCTTTCCGTTTCTGGATTGGGCTGAAAGTATTAGGAGCATCTCCAACAGTATTTTGGAGAAAAATAAAGTTAAGTGATATTATTATTAATTTAGTATTAAAATATTATCTGATCTTAAAACTTCTGATTTTTTTTATTTTGATGTTTTAAAATAAATTAATAACTTTTTTTCATTAAGTCTTTGATTCACATATTTGTAGATGAAAGACAGAGAATAGACAGTCTACCAACTACAGACCCATTTGAAATTATAAAAATATGATCCGTCCAAATTTGGAGACCAACCTATGGAAAGAAAGGGTTGAGAAGGAAAAAATGGGAACACCACATTAAAAACGTGGATATGCAAAAAGATTATATTATTGTTTATTGAAGAAATTTGTATATATATAGGACTTGATATATTGAGTAAGAAGGGTATAGAGAGATGGCAATGAAAGGCGAGGAGTTGCTAAAGGCTCAAGCCCACATATGGAATCACATATTCAACTTCATAAACTCCATGGCTTTGAAATGCGCCGTCCAACTCCGCATTCCAGACGCCATCAGCCACCATGGCCAACCCATCACCCTCTCTCAACTCGTTTCATCTCTCCAAGTTGACCCTCAAAAGTCCCAACACATCCACCGTTTAATGCGTATATTGGCCTACGCTGGCTTCTTCCTTATACATGAAACTAGCAAACAAGGAGATGATCAAGAAGTGGCATACTCACTCACCAATTCATCTCTTCTTCTTCTTGAACACAACACCTTAGCTCTCTCACCCTTTTTGCTTTCCATGCTCGACCCAGTCCTCGTCGATCCATGGCAATTTATATCGACCTGGCTCCGTAACGACCGCGATCGAACCCCATTTGAAACAGCTCATGGGAAGCAATTTTGGGAGCATATGGGTGGGGAACTAAAAGATGGGATGGTTTTTATTGCAGCTATGGCTAGTGATGCGAGGTTGGTGACGAGTGTTTTGTTGGGGACATATAAAAGTGTGTTTGAGGGAGTTGAGTTATTAGTGGATGTGGGAGGAGGCACTGGAACCGTTGCACAAGCCATAGCTGAGGCCTTTCCACAAATGCAATGTGTTGTTTTTGACCTTCCCCAAGTTGTGGGTGACTTGAAAGGAAGCCAAAACTTGATTTTTGTTGAAGGGGACATGTTTCAACAAATTCCACCCGCTGATGCACTTTTAATGAAGGTGAGGACGGTTAGACGAACACGACTTTCCACAATGGTATGATATTGTCCACTACTGTGAGCATAAGCTCTCATGGCTTTGCTTTGGGCTTCCTCAAAAGGCCTCACACCAACGGAGGGAGTATTATTTGTTTCTAAACCATGATTATCTTCGAGGAGGCTTGACTCCTTGGAGTCATTTGTTCAATATTTGAGGATTTACCAATCTATTGACATGACTAAGTTTAGGGCATGACTTTGATACCATGTTAGACGAACACGACTCTCCACAATGGTATGATATTGTCCACTACTGTGAGCATAAGCTCTCATGGCTTTGCTTTGGGCTTCCTCAAAAGGCCTCACACCAACGGAGAGAGTATTATTTGTTTCTAAACCATGATTATCTTCGAGGAGGCTTGACTCCTTGGAGTCATTTGTTCAATATTTGAGGATTTACCAATCTATTGACATGACTAAGTTTAGGGCATGACTCTGATACCATGTTAGACGAACGCGACTCTCTACAATGGTATGATATTGTCCACTTTAAGCATAAGCTCTCATGACTTTGCTTTGGGCTTCCCTAAAAGACCTTATGCCAATGGAGAGAGTATTCCTTGATTATAAACCCACGATCATTTCTTAAATTAGTCGATATGGGACTTTCATAATCCAACAAAGACATGAACCAACTAACACTTTAATTTATAATTTAACACTGAATTTAATGTGACATGTTATACAGTGGATTTTACATGATTGGAGTGACGAAGAATGTGCGAAGATATTGAAGAAATGTAAAGAGGCAATCACGAGCAATGGAAAGAAAGGGAAAGTGATGATAATAGATTTGGTGGTGAGAGATGAAGACAATAAGAATGACATGTTGACTGAAACTCAACTGTTTTGGGACGTGTTGATGATGGTGACGGTTGGTGGAAGAGAAAGAAATGAGAAAGAATGGGCTGAATTGTTCTATAAAGCTGGATTTGGTGGTTACAACATCTTTCCTATATTAGGTTTAAGGTCTCTAATTGAGATTTATCCATAATTATATCTCTTTTAAATATTACGATTTCAAGTTTGAATTATATGTTTTCACGTATGAATAAAGTGTGTGATTTTATGTGGATGTTGCAATTTAAACAATAGCTAGTTTGGGATCCATTTAGTATATGATTTTCTCATATAGTTCATATGGTTAGTTCAACACCACTCTTCACAATGGCATAATATTGTTCGCCTTTGTTTACGCTTCCCCAAAAAGCCTTATAGCAATAGAGAGAGTCCTTTTGATATTGACCTGGCAAGACATAAACTAAGTTTAGAGCATGACTCTGATACTATATTAGTTGAACACCACTCTCTACAATGATACGATATTGTCTACTTTGATCATAAATTCTGGTGATTTTGGTTTAGGTTTCCCAAAAGGCCTCATACAATGGAGAGAGTATTTATTGATTATAAAACCATAATCGTTCATTTAGCCGACTTGAGGCTTTCATCCAACACATATTTCTCTTAAAATTATTATTTTACGTTTTGAAATCTAATTCTTTTTATTAAAAAAAAAAAAAAATCTTTTTAAAAGCTGATTTCAAGATAGGTAAAAGCCACATTTATTAACGCCACGGTGGAAGCTTTGCTGACAAGATTTTGCTGACCACATATCCGACAAGATTTTGTTGATTAACCTAACCTTTCCAATCATTTTTGTTTTTTTCGATGTTTTTTTACAAAGTTTCAACCTTGTTTTTTCTAAATTTTATAAATCTTCACTTTTAAACTTTTAATTGGTATCTAATTAGTTCAATTATATTAAAAAAATAGTTAAAATCAACTAATAAAGACAAAAATTGATATTTTATATTTTATGGAACTTTAAACTTACATAATAATATTGTGAATTTTTTAAAAATTAAAATGTCAACATTATGGTTAAAAAAGAAACATTGGCCTAAAAATTGTGATATTTTCGCTAATCTCTAAAAAAAAAAAAACATGTGATTCCAATCTTTCTCACTAATTTCGGTTAATTTCTTTATTCTTTCTCACCCATTCAACCTTTTTCCTCAATTAATTTGGAGATTAAAGGGTTGTACGGATATGAGAGTTTCGTTCCACACTCATAGTGACCATTCGAATAGTAATTACAAAACACTTTGTAAAAACTATGCACTCTGATATGCTTGAAATTTCTTAGGATGAAAAAACTTGTTAGGGTGGATGGATATGTATAGGAGAGGATAGACAGTTTATTGATAAAATATTTAATCATTTATTTTTAAAATATTTAAACTATCTTCCTAAAATATTTAAGTATCTTTATTCTTAAAATATCTAAATTGTTTTTCTAAAATATCTAGATCATTTTTCTAATGTACATAGACAATGTGCTCATGTAATTATTAGGGTTTACTCTATTGGGCTAGTGATGATATTTTAACATTCTCCCTCAGCACTAGTCCTCATTCGTCGTAGCATGCTGAGATGACAACGAAAGCCCTCGTGTTCGCAAGTATTCAGCTCTTTTGTAAACAAGTCTGCCACTTGGTCATTCGTATTCTTCCTTCAAAACTTTGTCATTAATAAAATGACAGTGCACCTATACATGCTTTGTTCTACCATGAAACATCGGATTTTCTATTAGACGAGCCGCACATTGGTAGTCACTATGAAGTGGTATCAAATAGTCAACTTTCTAGTGCAAATTCTTCTTTAAGAGTTTCAGCCATGTAATTTCTTGAGTTGCTCTAGTCGTTGCTCTATACTCTGCTTTTGTAGTTGACAATGACACTATTGGTTGTCTTTTGCTACACAAAGAAATTGTTTCCAAATTGAGTTTGAACACATACCCGATGTTTGATCTTTGGGTGTCATGATATCTTGCATAGTCAACATCACAATATTAAGCTAGCTTGTAGTATTCGCTTCTTTTGTACAAAAGACTATAGTCGATTGTACCTTTGACATATCTCAAGATCCACCGAGTTGCATTCAAATTAGGCTTCTTCAAACTTTGCATATACCGACTAATGACTCAAACTGTATTCTCAAATTTCTTTGGATGGTTCATGTAAATTTTCTAGTTAACTTTTTGTGTAAGAAAGCATTCTTCACAACCATCTGCCATAATTTTCAATCTTTACCTACTGGAAATGCGAGCGAGACTCTATGATAGTGATCTTCGCCACTGAACTAAACGCTTCATTATAGTTTAGTCCATATTATTGAGAGAACCTTGGAACTACGGACTAAACCTTGTATCTCTCGATTAATCCATCCAAAAGGATATTATTTTGTAACCCCACTTGCAAGAGATGAGTTTGATATCTCCTAGTCTTAGCACTAGTTCCCTAGTATGATTTTGCTCCAAGGCTATAATTTCTTCCTCTATCTCTTGGCCCCAAGCTGTATTTTATGATGATTTTTTTTGTGTCTTGGCGGTTTAACTTCATATTTTATAATAACTATATTGACATATTTTGGATTTGACTTCTGGACTCTTTTTGACTGTCTAAGTTGTTGAAGTGCCATTTCCTTTTCACGTAGTTCACTTGATTGAGCCACTTCTTGCACGCTAACATTAGTGTCACTTGGATCTTCAGACACATCAACACTTAACCAAATATGTATAGTTTGCTCCCCCTCTTCTGTAGAAGAATTCCTTCAATGTTATCCAAGTATGGTAATACTTCCGTCTCTGAGGGCCACCCTACTTCCGTTGCGCCACTCTAATCATCAGTCATGTGGTTTGAGCATTCTGAATCAATGAACCAGTCATCCTCGTAATCGATATGCGAGCATCATCACCATGAGCGCTGGCTCGTCTTCTTCTACCTCTGCGTCCCATTCATCCTACATTTTAGAGGTTACCACATTGCTTTTGACAAAATTTTTCTTGGACCAACAATCCTTAGGCATGTGGCCCTTCTTCCCATAATTGTAGCAAATAAATTCAAATTCCTTCCCTTGTTGTCAATCTTCTAAGTTCTCCTAAGTTGTGGAGTTCCTTGGTGACTTCTTCCTTTGAAACCATTTTTGTATCCACATTTGTAGATGAATTATTGTTGTTCCGACTTTCAATTGTGTAGAGCACTTTTTGTTTACTATTCAACGTGATGCCTCCCATTTGCTTAGTCGTGGCTTCTTAGCTTGTTAGCAAACTTTCAGATACTACAAGTGATAGTTGAGCATGTCATCCTCGTATAGCAATAATGAAGCTTCTATATTCTGGTCGCAATCCGTAGATAATGATCCTCTTAATTCGAGATTCTCCAATGATGAACTTCAGGTCTAAGTCATTGATCTCCTAAAAATCGACTTGAACTTGTAGAAGGAATGGACAATGGTCAGTAATCTCACGATGCTTTCTCTATATAAATCTATATCCATATATTGATGTTTGATAATTTCCTTAATATTATTCTTTGCATTACTATCGTCACAATGAGGAACGACAGACGAAATTGCATTTAAAATAACTTTCAAATATTTAAAAAATTACTATGGTCATACAAAGTCATTTTATTTCTTTAAAGAAAAAAAAAGAAAAGAAAAAAATTTGTATACTATACTTCACAATCTCAGATAAAATTAATATTAACACAAATTTCTCTCAATTTAGGTAACAATCTCAGATAAAATTAATATTAACACAAATTTCTCTAAATTTAAGTAATAACAGTGTATCACATAAATGTCAAATTTTTAATTCCATATCTAAAATAAAAATTTTTTATTATCCATGAAACTCTTAGAAAACTTTTAATTTTATATTTATTGTTTGTACCGTTAATTTAACTGATATAACTTAACTAAGAATTTAACTAACTGCATATTAAACGTTAATTCTCATTTATACATTAATTGTCTCACAATCAAGAAAGATAATTAATCGCGTACTTTTAACTTTTAAGGTTACTTTTAATTTGAATGGTACATTATCATTGTTTGAAGTTTTGCATCAAGTATTTGACAACAACAACAGTTTCATCAATACAAGATATATCAATATTAACATTTATCATTGAATCTCTATTCTGAGAACATACTGAATTATTCTAAAATCATTGATTTGAAATTAATTAGTAGTCATCTATTAGATTAAAAGATTATATCATTGATTTGAAATTGATTAGATAGTCAGCTATTTACGTTAGATTGAAAGATTACATCATAATAATGAGTAATATGTTATGGATCAAAATAAATAAATAAAAAAAAATCTATTAATCAATTAATAAATTTCTTGTTTTCACAAGACCATTACACTTCATTCAAACCCACATGTTATCAAACCTTCTATTTATCAATCTATTACGTTAAATTCATTTCAAAATAAATTTTTATGTGAATATTTTACTTTTGATTTATAATAATACATTCTTATAGTAATTTGTATATATGCACTCTTAAATTTCTTGTGAAATTTAACTCTCTCAATTAGAATATTGATAGACTCTAAAATGGCAAGTGAAAATATCTAGTTCTAGCTTTCTCTAACTACAACTCTTTGTATTAAGTCATATTTTTAAAATTTGTATTTTCTTATCTATACATGCTTGTTCTTTTGTAGATCCAGTCATATCATATGAGTTTATCCTCGTCAAGAAAATTTGTAAATTCTTTGATCTTATGGCTTTAACTTATTTATCATTTGTCATCGTCCATAATAACCATTTAAAGGGTAATAAGCCTTCAACTTAGTCATTTAACATGACAATTTAGATTTCAATAGGATTGAGTCATCTCATAACTCCATCGTAATCATTACGATGAGACTTATCCAATTAATAACTAAGATCTACTTGACTCTCAAATGTAAATAACAACTTTTGTTAATTACAGGTGGTTTCACTTGGAACTATTTAATTAACGTTATTTCAGGTTATTAGAGGTGTGTACCCTTTTATTTGACATGGTTTAAAAAATTAGTATTTGTGGTACGAATATATTTTTCTATTTAGAATTAAATAAACAATCATTTTGCTTCTTTTTAGAAATAGCCTACCCTTAATCATAAATGCAATCTCTATTGCAAATGCTAACAAGAGTCTCGTAACCACGTATTAACTTTTTTATTTTATTTTATGCGACTATATCTAATATAATTTTGTTTCTTCTCAATATAATTTTGTTTCTTCT